ATTCAACATTGTATAGGAAGAATAAATTTAATTAGATTCGAAGGAAAAGATGTTTTTTGGGGTTTTTAGATTTTTTACTCTTAAATTTTGATATGGGGGAAATAAGCACTATGAAATATAGAAGTTTTTGCAAACAAATAAGATGGGAATCTTCCTGAACGCATAAGACTGGATTCTTCCTGGACAGATAAGACAGGAATCTTTATAAACAGAAAAACCTATTGCCTGAAAAAATAGTGACTATTTTATTACAAATGGTGTGTTACTCCATAAATACAGGGACCTTCTGTTTTATTTATTTGTGAGAATTAAAAATCACCCAGGAGAGTACCATACTTTTATTGTCTAGTTAATATGAGTAAAATCCTTTAGGTGCCCCAAAGAAATTTCAATTTCTAAAAATTACATAAGCCCTAACTGATTTGGCTCAGTGGATAGAGCATCAACCTCAGACAGAAAGATCCCAGGTTTGATTCCGGTCAAGGGCATGTACCTTGGTTGCAGGCTGATCCCCAGTAGGAGGTGTGCAAGATGCAGCTGATCGATATTTCTCTCTCATTGGTGTTTCTAACTCTCTATCCCTCTCCCTTCCTCTCTGTAAAATAATAATAATAATAATAATAATAATAATAATCATCATCTATTTTAAAAAATAAATAAATAAAAGTTATATGAGCATGGTAATTTCCTTCACAAAGACTTCATTTAGTGACTCTGTTGATAAGAGTTTGGCTAAGGGATTTGCAAACATTTACTTTCCAATTCTGGGCCCCATATTAATTATGGAGACTTTATAATTGAGTGGTGAGGATACGATATCCTAATCTGGTAGCTTTCAGAGTGAATAGTTGCCACTATGACTTTCAGATGATGTGTAAAAGATTTTCCGCACTTATGAGAATTTCTGCATGTTCTTGTGGCCTTCAAAAGCTATCTTTTTAGCTCTGGCCAGTGTTGCTCAGTGTTCGGAGTATCAGCCAACACACAGAAGAGTCTGGGTTTCAATTCCTGGTCAAGGGCATGTACCTGGGTTGCAGGCTTCATCCCTGGCCCCCAGTTGGGGTGAGTGTGGGAGGCTTCTGGTTGAGGTCTCTCTCTCTCATATTGATCTTTATCCCTCTCTTTCTCTACCTGCCCCCCTCTAAAAATTAATGGGGAAAATTTCCTCAGGTGAGAATTAACAAAAAAATATATTTTTTAATTTAAAAAAAACTATCTTTTCATTTAATAAAAGAAATATTCTTATGAAGTTCATCACAGTTTTCTGAAAGGATATTTTTTAATGTTCATTAATTTTAGTATCTTCTCTCTGTGTGAACCCCTGGGAGAAATGTCCCTGATTTTAATGTCCTCAGTATCTGTCATCCTGAGTCATTTGTTTGTGAGTTGAAATAGCTCCTTAGTCTAGAAAGGTATATTAAAGCCAGATCTAGGAGGGTTCTGAACATTTAGAAGCTAGAGATCTGGACTTTGTTTAGAGATGGCTCAAGTGAAAATTCAAGCAAATGCTATGGTGAAGACCAGAAGGATAATTCTAGGGGAAACTGAGTCATGTAACTATCCATCTTTCTTTCTCTGAGTATTAGCCACTAGAAAGTTTAAAGTAAAAAAATGGGCTCTCACTTCCTGCAAGTAGTTAATTCTCATTCTCACAGTCCTTGTGTTCAGTAACACCAAAGGCAGCAAGACCATCTTGGCGAATTTTGAACCAACAATCCTAGGGGAAATCCAGACAGGGTTAGGGTCCTACAAACCTCTGGCCCCAACCTGTGCATCAGCAGATCAACTGGTAACCTTGTTTATGTCTATTTCTGCTTAAAGACATGTGATTTAATACAGATTGTAGATTCATTATCAGTGAACTCACAGTCAGGAGCATCAGAACTCATGCCTGAAGGAAGTTTCTCTAATACACGTATTTTCTCCATAAGACACATTATATAGCCTTTTTGCACTTGGGAACACTGACCATACTTCACTATACTTGGGGTCCATTTTATGTTTTTAATGTTTAAAAATTTATTTGAGAGAGAGAGAGAGAGAGAGAGAGAGAGAAAGGTGGAGGGGGGGGGGAGAGAGAGAGAGAGAGAGAGAGAGAGAGAGAGAGACAGAGAGAGAGAGAGAGACAGAGAGACAGAGAGAGACAGAGAGAGAGAGACAGAGAGAGACAGAGAAAGAGAAACATGGATGTGAGAAAGAAACATATATTGGTGGTCTCCAATAAAGCACCTGACCAGGGATCAAACCCACAACCTGGGCATGTGTCCTGACCAGCAATCCAGCCCACGACCCTTCAGTGCACAGAGATGATGCTCCAACCAACTGAGTCACACTGGTCAGGGCATAGGGGCCATTTTAAACAGTGAAATCACCAACAAAAAAAGGCAAAAAAAAAAAAAAAAAAAAAAAAAGCAAAGAAAAGCAAACCTTAGCACTCAATAGACACATAAAAGACTTTTATACAGCATGAGAGCTGGAACAAAAAGTCAGCTTCTTCAACTTTAGCTGGCAAATTAGGTGAGTTAATAAATGTGATTATTAGGTGATTCAAATGTTTTACTGCTCTGCACAATTGACTGCAACAGCACTGTCAGTACTGATTGGGGAAGGGGAGGAGTTACACATAATGAGCAAGCAGGTGAACTTACAAATATGGACTCTACGTATAAAAAGGATCAACTCTACGTGTAGGGTTCCTTCTCCACATGCTTTTCCTGCTGACCTCTCTCTTGACTGACTCCATGTTACTTTTTTAAAAAAATATTTTAATATATTTTTAACTGTTTCAGAGAGGAAAGGAGAGGGAGAGAGAGATAGAAACATCAATGATGACAGAGGCTCACTGATGGACCACTTCCTGCACACTCCCACTGGGGTCGAGCCTGCAACCCAGACATGTACCCCTGACTGGAATCAAACCAGGGCCTCTACAGTCCACAGGCCGACACTCTATCCACGGAGCCAAACTGGCTAGGGCTTGAATATGTTTTTATTGATTTTTAGAGAGAGGGGAAGGGAAAAGGATGGAAAGAAACACTGATAATAGAAACATCATCATCAGCTGCCTCCTGCACCCCCATATCGAGCTCTAACCCCCAACCCAGGCATGTGCCCTTACTGGGAATTGAACCGTGACCTCTCGGCTCATGGGTGGATCTTGAACACTGAGTGACACCAGGTTGGCGTTCATGTTACTTTGGTACCTCTATTTTTCCCCGTGCCTGAATTTTATATTTTACCTCTGCTTATAAGTGGTTTTAAATCCTTTGGGGAACAAATAAGCCAAAAAGTAAACTTGGGATTCCTCCTCTTTGCACTAGCTACTGTGCTGTATATTGGGATATAAAAAGATCTCTAGGCATCAAACCTAATAAGAAATACATGATCAACTTCCCTGTGAAATAATATTTAATTTTCCCCCAAAAGGCCTCAAATTAAAATAAATTAATGTGTTTAATGAAGAAGTTAAAGTTTATGTAGAGGTGACACAAGGGAGTGAAAATGTGAGCAGATACAGGGATGAAGAGATAGTGGCTACACTTCTTTCTTTGTTCAACCTGAACTCTGGAACCTTGATTTTTTTAATTTTTTCAGTTTCTAACGTGGCCCAGACTATTATTGGACGCTGCCTTGGCCCTTAGTTCTCTTCGGACTCCTGCAGAGAATGCAAACACCTCCCGTACCCCCCTCACTGACCTGGAGCCGGCTCAGTCGTCACAAACATGCCTCTTAAATGTTTAGATTCACGTAAACAACATGACAGGGTTTTATATAGTGGATTGAAGTAAATCACAATCGAACACTCTGAGTATCTTATGGCCACACAGGGATGCCCTATAAGAAATGTGCTGTGCAGGAATAATCCACCACAATCCCAGAAGACCCCGGTTCCCAAATCTCCTGAGCTTTCTTTGCCTTCCGAGTGCCTGGCTGTGAAGGTGAGGTGCAAAAGTTCTGCTACATAATAAAAGTGTAATAAAAAAAAGTGTAATAATAAAAGTGTAATATGCTAATTAGGCCCTGCGGCAAAAAAGCCGGACGACCATCCGAATGACCTTCCAGATGACCTTCCAGACGAAGCCGGGGCTTCGAGGGCAGAGTCCCTTGCACAAATTTCATGCATCGGCCCTCTAGTTGAATATAAAACATACATATAAATATATACATACATATCAATACATATATATACACACATATATACCTACATGTATATATATAATATATTTAATCTAGTCAAGACCTGACTGGAATGTTGAGGGAAGTTTTCTTGGGGCAAAAAAGCAGATTGAAGCTCCCAAATCTAGAAAATATAATTGCATCAGAAGGGGTGAAGCTGTATACATTATCTATAGGCTTTTCTGGTTGTTATTGTTCCTCACTTTTATCTGACTGAAAGGAGCCTTTGCTCACACAGGATTCTTCATCTGCAGTCTAGCGGTTTCTCTCCAAATTGTTCCTCAGCGGAGCCCCTCAGGTCTTTGTCCCACATGGTGAAGAGCCTTACCCTGAGCTTCACATCAGCCATTCAACAACTACTTGGAATGTCCCTTACTAGGTGCCAGGCCCTGGGGTAGGTGCTGGGGAGACGGTGCAGCCCAAAGCAGACCTGGTCCCTTCCTTCATGCATCTCACAGTCTACTTGAGAAAGACTTCAATCAAAAGAAACACACATACACGTAAATTTACAACTGCTATTGCGTCCCGAAGGAGAACACTATGCATGTGTAAATGACGAAGGCTTTACCTAGTGGAGATACCTCTTTCCAGAATCATCTCATTAACATTTTCCATTTCTAGGGGTTTTCTGATTTACCATTCCAGGGCCTCACTCTCCTCCTCCTCCTCCCCTCTTCATGGGGAGTAATGGCATTGAGAATCACAGCCAGGGAAAACAGGCTCTCCAGGATGTTCCCAAGTGGATTCATAATGCTAACAGGCAAAAGTTAAATGCAGACCTTTACTGTTTCTACCAGGTGCGAGCTGCCAGAGCTCTGGGGAAGATGCTGGTGCTAAACTGTGCTACCAAGTTACTGACACTGGAAAAAGTGCTCAAGAGTCACTTTCCCGAATCACTCAAGGTACTGTGCGCTTGTGTTTCATTTTATTCCTCTGTTGTGTTGATCTGTGAAAATAACGTCCAACCGGTAGCTGTCTCCCAAAGTTGCCAGTGATAAGACTCTGGGGCAACCTGTTAAGTCCACAGCTCCCGCTTCCCACTTGCAAGAGACTGATTCAATGGACTGTGGGTCTGACCCAGATAATTATATTCCTGATGGTCACTTTAGATGACTCCTGGGAAATTTAGGTCACGCTGGACTAGACTGTTTTTAAGGTCGATCAGAGTTCTAAATGTTTTTAATGGCCATTGGGAATGGACTGGTGAGCACTGCTGGTAAGAATGTGTACACAGTGGAACTGAAGTTTAGGGGTTGTTATAAATTCCTTTCCTGTTTATTTTGAAAGCTTTATTTTGGAAGCATTTTCAGTAGTTTTCATGGTCATCTAGCCTCTATCTGTTGAAATCTTCTAAAAGTCCCTGAGGGCTTACTGGGACTCAGAGTTACTGTGAATGATGTTAATCAAAGATCATAACTCAATGTGAGAAATATTTGAAGCACTCCAAGAAAAAAATGGAGAATGCATGAACATTGTCTTTGAGGGTTGAGTCTCTTGAGTCGAGAGCCTGACAACAATGGTTTTCAAATGTGTGGCTGCTAATAACCTAGAAGAGATATAATAAATCGGATTTTTGAGAATAGAGACCAAGGACCTATATGTTTAACAAAAACCTCGGATAACTCTTATTTACACTAAAATTGGAACAAAAGTGACCTAAAGAACGTCCTCGTGCCCTCTACTGGTTAAATCTAGTTACCTTGCCTTATTGATTGTGCTTAAACTGTTTGTGGCAGGGAAAATCGGAGAGATAGAGTGGAAGCATGCAGCTGGAAAAGTGCCAAATGGACCAGCTGACCTAATTTCCCCGTCTTGAACGCTGCACTGAGGTGAATAAATGGAATGAGATGACCAGCTAATCTCTCTGACAACGTGTTTAACTAACGCTTTTAGCAGAGAGACCTGAAAAGGATTCAGTGACCTTTATGGGGTCATGGAGGACGTTATAATCAAGACAAATGACAAGCCCTAAAATTATAATTATTGTATTTGTATAATACTTTAGCACACAGAGGATTTCAGTTTTTTTAGCCTCCAACAACTTCCTAACACTTTTTTTTAATCTTCACCAAGAATGTGTTACCCTACCTCCTTTAGAGATAAAAAAGATAAAGGAATTTTGTTGTTTGCTCTTCTTCCATTGTTTTTTTAAAATTTTATCTTTATTGTTGAAAGTAATCCAGATGTCCCCTTTTTTTCTCCCACTGACCCCTTCCACACACACCCAGGCCTTCACCACACTATTGTCTGTATCCATGAGTTGTGCATATATGCTATCTTTTTAAGTCCTCACCCAAGGATTTTTCCATTGCTTTTTATTTTTTTTCTGAGGCCCAGGGGTCCTTTGGCCTGGCCTGCAAGATTGGGCTGAAACGGGCTCTCCAACATCCTCCATGGGGTCCCAGGATTGTGAGAGGGCACAGACCAGCCCAAGGGGCTCACCGGTGTATGATCAGGGCCAGGGAGGGATGAGAGAGGTAGGCCAGCTAGGGAGGGACTGTGGGAGGGCTCCAGGGCATGTCTGGCCCATGTCACTCAGTCCCAATCGCCAGACCCCAGCAGCAAGCTAACCTACTGGTAGGAGCATCTGCCCCCTGGTCATAGTGAGTGGTTGAGCAACCTTAGAACATCATTAGCATATTATGGTTGAACAGATGACTGGACACTTAGCATTTTAGCTTTTATTACATAGGATTTCAGTTGTTACTGTTGTTAATGCTCACCTGAGGATATTTTTCCATTGACTGTTTAGAGAGAGTGGAAGGGAAGGACAGAGAGATAGATAGAGAGAGAGAGAGAGAGAGAGAGAGAGAGAGAGAGAGAGGAATCAATGTGAGAGAGACACCTCGATTGGTTGCCTCCTACACATACCAAGACCAAGGCTGGGGATTGAACCTGCAACCAGGTATGTACCCTTGACCTGAATGGAACCCTCAGTGCGCAGGTCATTGCTCTAAACACAGAAACACCAGCCAGGAAACCCTTCTCCCATTCTTTGGAGTTTATGACTATGCACTTTGTAATCTGATGTTAGTGTTAAACATCTCTCCAAATTTCCATACAAGCTCTAACTGCTCACTCCTCCAGCATCTTTACTTTCCCCAGCCACTTCCTATCTCCTCTCAATACTCACCCTTTGAAATAACTATTGGAAGGGTTGGTTTGTTTTCAGTCAATGAGAAATCTTGCTATTGGTTCCAAATATTTGGCAGGCAAGCTATGTATTTTGTTTTTTGTTTTTTCTTGCAGAATCTGACTATTTCAGCAAGTTCTCCCTTTAACCCTTCTAGAAGCCTTCCAAGCATACTTAAGCTCCGTTCTTGAATAAGTGTGGTTGTCTTCCTCTGGGAAACCACTTTGATAAACTTATTACTCCGTAATATCTGTAAGATCAGCAGACCAGCATTGAGTGGTTAACAGAACAAGTCAGATGAAATGATTAGGAGAAAAAGCCATTACCCTTCTAGTTTACTTTAGTTCTTGGATTTTCACTAAGTGTGACCCATGTTACACATTGGTATCAGCCATACTACCCTGGGAAAAATACGTTCCTTGAGAAGATTTGAGTGAAATCCCAGATTGGGTAAACCAAAAGAGTTAGTTGGAAAATGTTCTAGGTATTGAGGTAATTTGAACTAAGTGATAGAGGAGGTAAAACATAGGTACTAATGCCCTTATAATTTACTTTTTTTTTTCCCCCACTGAAATAAAGCATATACTAGAAAGTGCTCACAAGAGCCTTGGCTGGTGTTGCTAAGTGGTTAGATCATTGACCTGCACACCAAAGGGCCGGGGGTTTGATTCCTGGTCAAGGACATGTACCTGGGTTGCAGGTTTGATCCCCAGCCCCAGTCAGGGTGGGTACTGAAGGCAGCCAATCTATGTGAGAGATGCTGGTGTCTCTATCTCTTTCTTCCTCCTTCCCTCCCTCCTTTCCACTCTCTTGGAGAAAATATCCTCGGGTGAGGATTTAAAAAACAAACAAGTGTGCATGCATACGTACTTACACAGCTCAGAGAATTTGCACGAAGGATTACCTGAATAACCTCCACTCCAAGAAAGAACATGACTGCCCCTCCGGCCACCAACGCTCCTCCAAAGTAACCATCATCCTGACTTTTAAAGCCGTCATTTAGTTTCCCGTGTTTTTTTATATACGTTGGATCACAGAGGAAGTATCTTTTTGCATCCTGTTTCCTTTGCTCAGCATTGTGTTGCCGTTTTGTAATCCAGAGTACGAATATGCCACAATTGATTTATTTTTCCACTTCTGGTGAACAGGTTGTTTCCAGTTTTTATCTATGAACACTGGCCTAGAGCTCAGCTCTCCTCATTACCACACACTTTTCCGACTCTAGAACCACACAGATGACATATGGGAATTGTAGGACAGACATCTTTGATTCTTAGTAGAGAAAAAAATATGGAAGGCCACAGAGAATTCCAATACTATTATTTAGTAGTGTTTAGTCAAAAAGCATTTGAGCCCTAGCCAGTTTGTCTCAGTAGACTGAAGGATCTACTGACTGCAGACTGAAGGATCCCAAGTTCAATTCTGGCCAGGGGTACATGCCCGGGTTGCAGGCTCAATCCCCAGTAGAGTGCGTGCAGGAGGCAGCCAGTCAATGATTCCCTCTCATCGTTGATGTTCCTATCTCTCTCTCCCTCTCTGAAATCAATAAAAAAATATTAATTTTTAAAAAGCATTTGAGCCTAGCCTAGTTCAGTGGTTGAGCATCAACCTATGAACCAGAAGGTCACGGTTCGATTTCAGGTGGGGCAAGCTCCACCCAACAGGGGGTGTGCAGGAGACAGCCAATCAATGATTCTCTCTCATCGTTGATGTTTTTATCTCTCCCTCTCCCTTTCTCTCTGAAATCAATTATATATATATATTCTTTGTAAAAATCATTTGATCAGCTGTGTCAAGCTCCATAGATGTAATCATGAATGAGACATAGTGACTGTCCTCAGAGAATACCTGCAGAGCCTTGCTCCATCAAATCTGAAATACAGGGGTGTGGTTTTGGCTTATTGGGGGGGGGGGGGGGGTGTGCATTTCACTATCTTGTGATGTTTAATTGTAACTCAGGGTGGAAGGAGTAGTTACACTTCACAGGTTATTTTTAGATAGCATAATAACTTCAAAAGCAGGGAGCATCAAAATCACCTGTGGAACTTCTAAAAGAAGTATGAGCCCCAAAGCCATACAAGAGATTCTGATTCATTCAATAATGTTTATTGCTAACCTATATGCCCAGCACTCACCTAGTAAGCCTATTGATTTATGCAGTGGTCGGCAAACTCATTAGTCAACAGAACCAAATATCAACAGTACAATAATTGAAATTTCTTTTGAGAGTCAAAATTTTTCAACTTAAACTTCTTCTAATGCCACTTCTTCAAAATAGACTTGCCCAAGCCTGGTATTTTGTGGAAGAGCCACATTCAAGGGGCCAGAGTCACATGTGGCTCTCGAGCTGCAGTTTGCTGATTTAGTACCTCTCCTAGTTGTACTGTGAAGCACTAAGTTTAGGGAGAATTTTCTTAGGCTTTCATAGACTTTTTAGCAGTTTTCATGTGCACTGATGAAATATTAAGGGGGGAGTTTGTATGTTGTGTACATTTATAATATCTGCTTTGAGGGCCATAATTCTTCGGTAGAACAAGAGGTGAAAAGGGCAATATGCAACAGCTGGTGATGCATTGGCTTGTCTCTCTGGGTTCTCTGACTCAGGTGTATGGAGCAGTGATGAACATAAATCGTGGGAACCCCTTTCAAAAGGAAGTGGTACTGGACTCATGGCCAGACTTCAACGCTATCATCACTCGGCGTCAGAAAGAGGTAAAGTATTGAAAGGCAAAATAATAAGAGTTAGCATCAACTAGAAAGAAAAGATTAGGAGTGGGGGATATTATAACTCTCACAGCCAAATACTTTAGCTTACAAAGCTAAACGTTTCATCCGTGGATTCTAATTTGCCTGTCTTTGGAGTATCGGATGCATAGAAAATCTCTAGCCTAAATGCGTTCAGTAAACTGTATCTTTAATGTTTCATAATCTCTAGGAGCAGAAAGCATGCATACTTGCATATACCAGTGTTTTCACTGGGATGATGATCCTGTGTGACGATGGGGACTTTGGTCACGAGTGTGAATATGGAAGAACACGGGAAAAAGGCAGCGTCTGCCCACTTCTGCCTCTGGGACCAAAGAGAGGCTCAAGTCATCAAAGACGTGCTGCCGTGACCACATTAGGACAGTTCTGAGAGTTCCATTTAATTCTTATTGGAGCGTCCCTTGAGTCACAGCCTTTATATTTTTACAAATAAATTACAAGTCCCGGAAGTCTGTGAAATAAATGTAAAGCCTCCCTAATACTAGAAGAGATAGTCAAGCAATGGCTCCGAGTGTGTGTGCTTTCCCTCACAGGGTATTAGCCACATTCCCACGTAACCACCCCGGTGACTGAGTTCGCTAATGGGAATTACCTGGACACGCACAGCTAATGGTATCCACGCCATCTAAAATTTCAGTTAGCTAGTCCAAAGGTTTCCTTATACCAGCGGTCGCCAACCTTTCAGACCTCATGGACCATGGACCACCGGTTGGCGACCGCTGATAGAGGATGCGTATTTATGGTGTGTCTTCTGACCCAGGCTGAGACAGACAACCTGGACCATTACACAAACGGCTATGCTGTGTTCTACAAGGATGTGAGAGTTTACCGACGGCTGCTGGAAGAGCGTGATGTTATCAACTGGGACCAGGCTTTTCACATACAAGGTGAGGTCAAGGGCAAGACACTAGGCCATCGTTAAATCCTTTTAGTCACATATGTCAGATAGACAGATATGCATATTTCACATATACGCTATATATACACACAGATGTACAAACACATGTCTATTCATTTTCTATATTTTATAATTCATGTATTATAGTTCTATAAAAATACTTTTACTGGTACTCCTAATGAGACTTGGCTTTGGGCCATTGAAATGGGGCTGCATTTAAGTGATTTTTTTACTGTTATGTAATAGGGATATCAGTGAGTATCAGCATCTTTTTCCTTATTACTCTTAACCCTTTGCTGTTACAGCCTTTTAAAATAACTCTAACTTCAGCCGAAACCGGTTTGGCTCAGTGGTAGAGTGTCAGTCTGTGGACTGAAAGGTCCCAGGTTCGATTCCGGTCAAGGGCATGTACCTGGGTTGCGGGCACATCCCCAGTAGGGGGTGTGCAAGAGACAGCTGGTCGATGTTTCTCTCTCATCGACATTTCTAGCTCTCTCTCTCCCTTCCTCTCTGTGAAAAATCAATAAAATATATTAAAATAAATAAATAAATAACTCTAACTTCAATCTAAGCCAACAGGTAAGCTTTTCTTCTTTCGGAAGCAAATAATTCTAGAAAGGGCTAATCTGCTTCGTATATCCTGAAGTGACTTTATAAGGAAAGGATATATGTGAACTCCCAGGATATAACGGTGTGGCCACCAATGCTACTGGAAGAACTATAGGCCAAGGTAGAAGAAGCAGGTTAAAATTTTCTGATAGTTCAGATGGACAGTTTATGCTTCAGTGCGTCACTTACTGTTCAATTTGTCATAATGTTCGGGGGTTAATACAGGCCATGAATTCCTGATTGTAATCGTTCCAGTGGAATGAGTTCCTTGATCCTTCAACATTGAAGGCAGGAATCCCCATGTTAGAAATATGAAGTCTGGTCATTTTTTTCGGTCACATACAGCTGACACCCTCTCACGAGGTCTCCTTGTGTCCATCTATGAACAATAACCAATGCATATTCATAATCTAAGGAGGTGGTGGGATGTTGAATAAAATCCATTTGCAAATGCTCAGAGAGACCTTCTGGAGGACGTTCTAACCATCCCTCACCTTTACAGATTTACCCCAGTTACTCTGATTAGAAGAGACACATGGTTTGATTCTGTGTAGCCAATTCAGAAAAATGTTCTCACCAGTGTTACTTCAATGTGGAGATGAGTACACCTCTTCCTTGGTGTGAGAATTATGGCTGTAATTGGGTGGATAGTGGTGCTATAGGCCTACAATCTTCAAATCATCTGAATCCAGCATTACCAATTGCCAATATTCTTTTTCCAACAGGCTAAGCTGATAGCCATGAGTCAGTTACAGTCAATTAGATGGTCTCATCCCCTCTTCCTGAAGGCTTGGTGGGGACAGATGTGAATTAGTAGCACCTAATATAGCTGGAGTGGCAAAGGCCCCTCACTCAGCATGTAAGTCAGAGCAGGTGTTATCCGTGGCTTCTGACGTGGTCTCCTGGCTATATTGGCTTCTGTGACAATAGCTAGAATCTGCTTGGAATACTGAAGAGCTTCTAAGAGACCATCAGTAGGTTCACTATCTTAATCAGAGCACCTGATTAAGATGCTGTTTTCATAACATTCCCAAATCCTGCCCAAAAGTCTGTCTACTGCCATATGCATTCCATCCTTTGAACAATTCCCAAGCCTGTCTACTGACATTCGTGTCCAAACTTTTGCCACAGGGCAGGCTCTCATCGGAGCGACGAGCTGGCTGCCTGGACAGATCACGCTGCTTCAGTGCTGGGTGTTCAAAGCAGCAACACAAACAATATTAAACCAGGGTTAAGCCACTAACCTACTCAGAGGAGCCCAACTCCCGTGTCTGCCATGTGAGAGAAGTGAGGAAAAAGTATACAGCACCCAGGCAGGCCAGGCTCTTTGCTTCACTGTTAGCTGCATGGGCGAGAGAGAGCTTGTCTACGTGAGCACTAACTTAAAAGTTTTGGAAGCCTGCCCACGGGTAACTATGGTCCAATGAATGTCCTGAATCTGGCTCATCCCGTTAGCAAATCCTCCTGTCTGTGGAGGTGCGAGGTGGGAGGACAAAAGGCAAAACAATCCGTGGCAATTCCTGTCTTTGGTGAGAAAGGAGAGAACCGTTTGTTAAAAGTGGACAGAAGAATATGGTCAAGCCAATGAGCAAAGTCCACGCTACCCAGCAAACAACTGGGTTCTTGAACAAATAAATGGAAATAATTTTTAAAAGAGGAAGTGGGAATCAAAAGAAAACCTTTAGATCAAAAGATTTACAAGACAAAAAAAATGGGTAAAATCAAACTATAGAGTTTAAGGATGCACACTTGAATAATAAAGCTATAAAGAAAACAGTGTTTTATCGTCATAAAAACGATGATAGTGGCTATTTTTAGAGGCAAGAAAAGGAATTGTGATTGGGAGGAGTGGTAAATAGAAGGTAGCTGAGGCTTGAGTAGTACATGGTTAAAATATGTAATAATTATTAAGCTACGCATTTAGGGGTGGGTTTCTTTTTTGAAGTTTTCTGTATATGTTATCATTTTAAATGTTTTTTAAATAAATGTCAATCTGATTTTTAAATTTTTATTTATTAACCAGTTAAGTGCCACAATATTTTGAATTTAATTTAAAAAGGTCCGCCACTTGTGTTTATAGATGCTTATGGTATACAAATGGTTAATGGGGGGGTGGGGCATGGCGAGAGAGAAAGGGAAACATGGATTTGTTGCTCCACTTATTGATGCACTCGTTGGTTAATTCTTGTATGTGCCCTGACTGGGGATGAAACCCACAACTTGGTGGAGGATCGGGGTGATGGTGTAATCCACTGCGCTACCTGGCCAGGGCTAATCTGACTTTTGGAAAGAACTGGTTCAGTCTACCTCAGGAGAAAGAAATTCTGTTTGAACTACCATCTCTACCTTTTTTGAACTATCATCCTTACCATCCCTACGGGGGAAAGGAGGAAAAAAAAAAGGGGGGGGAGGGGAGAATCAAACTATCGTGTTTAAGGATGCACACTTGGTTATAAGTAGGGAAATAAGTACCTCCTCTTATTTCCCCTCAGATTACTTAGATCTAATTCAGTATTATCACGTGGGATGCTAGCCACAGCATCTATAATGTTGATGGTATTAACTTGAAGACTTCCTCGTCTTTTCTTAGACTTACTCCCTGAGGGAGGAGCCAAGGATTAGGTATCAGACTGAGATCAGCATGACTTAACAGTCGTGTCTTTGCCAAGAGGAAGTGACTTACTGAGAGGAGGAAACAAGACGTTAGCGTGGAAGGGAGTGGGAAAGTCACTGTCCAGAGGATGCCATCCAACAGGACGCTGACGGGAGAGGACAGAGCAGTGGGGATTTGGAGAAGCAGGGCAAGTTAGGCCTAGTAAGCAAAAGCGAGGCTGCCACGCTGTGAGCTGTCAGAACAGGCCGGTCACTCTTCTGTCCACTGGGAAGCAGTGCCCAGGGCAAGCACTGACTAGAGAGTTGCAGATCACAGAGTATAGCTATGGTAAACGCGAGGGGTTGGTTGAGTTAAGCTCCCGATAACTCTTACCAACACTGTTTATATTTCTGCAGTGAGCATGACGCCACGAGGCTGGAAGAGAGAATTCCAAGCCAAATGAATCTCAGCTCTTTACACTCCCAGCTGCTGTAACATGTCTCTTCCCCGATCACCCTGAGAAGTCAGAGAAATCCAAATGCCCACAAGACATTCCAAATGCCTAGGGAAGTGGTCGGCAAACCACGGCTCCCGAGCCGAGGGGATAGGGGCTTAATCACAAGGAACAACAACAGCCTGTAATTATTGGAATCGAGAGTCTAGGTTAGTGGTCGGCAAACTCAGTCAACAGAGCGGCAAACTGCATGTGGCTCGAGAGCTTCAGCTTGCTGACCACTGGCCTAGGGGATGTCTCCATCAGAAGATTCCATGGACATTAGTGATCACCACGGGCAACATGATGGGAATTTGAAAACCCTGCACTAAGTTTGAAAATCAGATAGGGAGTAGTTGTAAAGATTCATTTGTAAATACACAGTGGTTAGGATCATGCACGGAGGTATTGATGATAGGTTCAAAAACACTGCATCGAATTTCCTCTTTGTGGTTTCAGATAAAATGCTGCGATTTTCCTGATGTCTTTCCTTACCCAGGGCTGCAGAGTGAGCTGTATGATGTTACCAAAGCTGTTGCCGACTCCAAGCAGTTGGATGTGAAGATAACTTCCAGCAAGGCAGTCATTTTGCCCCCGGTCTCAGCTCCTCCAGACACCAGTCTCCTGTATGTAAATCCAGTGTCTGCATTTGGGATAGGACTTAGTGCTACGGAAGTACCAAGAGTGGTACCCTGAATTGGGGCTATTGAGTCTAAATTTGTGTGTGTGTGTCTGTGTGTGTGTGTGAGTGTGTGTGTGTGTGTGTATTCCTTTCCTTTCTGCTGTGCTTGCCTGCTCATAATTTCCTACAAAATCGAATCAGTGTCTTTGTCCATAGTAACATGTGAACTCAGGAGTCCTGAATTTTCACTGTATTCACATAAAAATCATTCTTTGATATCCTCCTTCCCCAAATATTTCTAAATCGCCTCTGTTGTCGGAGCTCAAGTGGTGGTGGTTGTTTTGTTGTTTCAGAGATGAGGGTATGTAACTGAGCCGCATGGAGCTCTTATAAGCCAGGCACTACATGTTTTCAATAGATTACCATGTGAACCCGTTCTACAACCCTACGAAGTAGTGCTGTTATCATTCCCTTTGGACAGCGGTCGGCAAACCGCGGCTTGCAAGCCACATGCAGCACTTAGGCCTCGTGAGTGTTCTATTGCCACTTCTTCAAAATAGACTCACCCAGGCCGAAAACCGACTTCTGCACATGGAGTTTCAAACGCACTGTACATGCTCGCCCACATGTGGTATTTTGTGAAAGAGCCACACTCAAGGGGCCAAAGAGCCGCACGTGGCTCAAGAGCCCCAGTTTGCCGACCGCTACCTTTGAACAAAGTAACACACAGGAGTGAACTGTAGAGCCAGGAAACAAATCCCACAAAGCCGGATCCGAGTTCAATTCTTCCAAACACGTGTTGGCTCATATCTGCATTCTTATTTTCTTCGTGCTTTGGAGTCCTGTTCTGTCATTTACCTACTTTTTTGCTTCTTTCTGAGCCTCAATCAATTCTTCTTGAAAATTAATCTATAATATCTTCCTTATCTGTTTTTCATAAGCAAATGAAACATGATACTTGAAAAGTACCCAGCTTGGTAAATGTTAGTTTTTTTTCACTTGTATGAAATATGTTGAAAGAATTACCGAACAGAATAACATTAAACCTAAACAAGAATGGACACTTCTAAGTTACATAAAGCAACTGGACTTTACTGTTTAAAATATACATATACTTTTTAAAAATTGATTTAAGAGAGGAAGGGAGAGGGAGAGAGAGAGAAACAAACATCAATGATGAGAAAGAATCATCCATCGGCTGCCTCCTGCACGCCCTCTGCAAGGGATCAAACTCGCAACCCGGGAGACTGGGAATTGAACTGTGACCTCCTGGTTCATAGGTTGATGCTCTACTATTGAGCAACACCAGCCAGGCTGGACTTTACTTTTTTCTCCTCCAGGTATGAAGATTTTCAAACACATACAAAAGGTACAGAGAGTAGTATAATAAACCTTCCCATCAATAGGTGAGCTGTCTTATTTTATCCATACTCCTTTCTATTCTTTCCACTCTTGGATTATTCTGAAGGAAATTCTCCAGACATTATCCATTATTCTTAAACATTCTGATATATATCTCCAAAAGATATATATATATCTGTTTGGGCTCAGACAACAGAGGCTATTTGGAATTATTTGGGGAAGGAGAATATCAAAGAATGATTTTTATATGTATACAGTGAAAAGATAAGGATTCTTAAAAATTTACTAATATTACTTGTGTGATAGGAGAATGATAGACTAGGAAGACTCACAGGACCCAATCCATATTGTCATTTATCACAATGAAAAGATTCAAATCAAAATCAAAAAAAGACTAAGATGCTTTGGCTAAGTCCAGAGGAAACCAGGCACAAGCTTCCTAGAGTCCATTCCTGGTAGAATCACATGAAATGGGTAATTTCCCCAGCAATGAGTTGTGACAGCATGTGATCGGACTGGTATTAGAGGCACCTCTGCCTAGATTATGTCAATTTCCTAGAATCTCAGCGGAAAACAGGTGCTTAGCATAAACCACACGTGCACAGGCAGGCACAACAAGCAATGCACATCACTTCCGGGATTGGCAGGGCACCTCCAGAAAGTCACATTGCCCGACATCAGCCAAGGCCAACCTGGCACCTATCATCATATCGGTAGTGGCCTCAAGCCTGCCATCTTAACTCTGCCTGCACAACACCTGGCATTCTTTTTTAACAATATTTCCTCCAAGTCAAATAATCAGTTAGTAGTCACATTTCCCAAATTACCATGACATTTATCAGTTTTGAATAGCATCCAAATAAGGTTCATACCTTATTGATTAATATCTCTCTTAACATTGGTTAATATCTCTCTATTATGATAGGTTAATATATCTTAACATATAGGTTAATTGACTAATATCTCTCTAACATATAGGTTAATATCTCTCTTAACATATAGGTTAATATATCTCTTGGTTGCAATTGGTTAATATATAGGTTCCCCTTTCGTTTCATTTTATATTTCTTACATTACTTTTGTTAAAAACAAAAAACAAAAAAAACCCAAGCTATTTGTCCTTTAGAGTGTTAGGGTTTTCCACAGCCTATTTACTGTCATATCCCTGAGGTGTTATTTAAATTTTTCCTCTATCCCCAATCAGGCCTTTTAAAATCAATTTTTGACTTAAACTGCTCCCTTCTGCATGGGAAGTTAGACAACTGTCTTTTAACAGAATCATCACCCAAATGTGTACCCTGCCCTTCAGATACAAGGTCACAGTCTGTAGTATAACCCCTGAAGCACTTGGCTAGTCTCAGCAATGCTTTCATTTCAAGGTCACTTTTGAAACTTAAATATAAAAAAAAAAATTCTATTAAGCCAGTTACTGCTTGTACTTATTTATTTTTCTACCCCTGCTTAGTGGTTAGGCAATTGTCCCAGTGCCAGGGCCCACAGGATGCCTGGGATGGGAGCTAACACTGCGGAACTAATGAAAAGAAAGCACAAGCTCGGGCTTTATAAAGAAGGTCTTCGCTAGGATGATGTTACCGGTCTCTCCGCAGTCACCGGGAGCGGCCTCACCAGTGCTGACTTCAAGAACAAAAGCAAATCCTGAAACACAGCCAGCCCATAGGCTTTCAACCAAATAACCCACCGTGGCTCTTAGAAATGGCACCAATTGTTATCATTAATCTTTACCTTAATGCCATGAGATGTTAGACCTTTCTCCAAACCTTTTAGGGGAAGGTCTGGAAGAAGTAGAATTTTTTTTTTATTATTATTGATTTTTAGAGACAGGAAGGGAGAGAGAGGGAAACATGACTGATTGGTTGCTCCCCACTGCTCCCCTCCTGGGGACTGAACCCGCCACCTGGGGATGTGCCCTGAAAGGGAATATAAGTCGCCACCATTTGGTGCACAGGACCATGCTCCAACCAAGTGAGCCAGTCCGACCAGGACAGAGCTAGCATTTTTTGAGCATCTACATATGCCTGGAGTGTGAAGGTTGTATTTGTTTTCTGGGCTTGGATGCATCAAAATAGAAGGTCTATCCCAGTGGTTGGCAAACTGCGGCTCGCGAGCCACATGCGGCTCTTTGGCCCCTGAGTGTGGCTCTTCCACGGCGTGGGCAACTCTATTTTGAAGAAGTGGCGTTAGAAGAAGTTTAAGTTTAAAAAATGTGGCTCTCAAAAGAAATTTCAATCGTTGCACTGTTGATATTTGGCTCTGTTGACTAATGAGTTTGCCGACCACTGTTCTATCCTAAAACACTTTTTTAAAAAAATATATTTTTATTGATTTCAGAGCAAGGAAGGGAGAGGGAGAAAGAGAGAGAGAAACATCAACAATGATAGAGAATCGTTGATCAGCTGCCTCCTACACATCCCACACTGGGGATTGAGCCCACAACCTGGGCATGTGCCCTATTGGGAATTAAACCATGACCTCCTGGTTCGTGGGTCAATGCTCAACCACTGAGCCACCCCAGCTGGGTTTTTTTTATAAACCAAAAGATCTGGGGCCCAAGAATCAGGCCTTTTCAGGGCTTCAGGGAAGGTGTCAATAAAATCAGGACTTAGAAGTCTGAGAGTTGTTCCACTTGCCTTAATCTATACCGAGGACGGTAAGAAATTGGCATAAAATTAGAAAGGAAGACATCAACTTGAAATAAGGAGCACTTGGTCCTATCAGAAATGAAATTCTGCAAGATGTCTGTGAATGGGGGAGAGATGGAACCTAATTCCCCGACAATGTCTTCATATGTGGTAGGCCCTATCTCGGGGATGGCATCTCCCCTTAACTCAGTCTACAGAGAGGAGGAGTTGTTGGAAGTCACGTGACCCTGTGTTCACATCTCTTCTCCTGTCCTTCCCTTCTAGAAGGAGTTCTCCCCCGCGGCTCACCTACCTGAGTGTAGCTGATGCCGATCTGCTCAACCGGACCTGGTCGCGGGGCGGCAACGAGCAGTGTCGCCGGTACCTCTCCAGCCTCATCGCCTGCTTCCCCAGTGTGTGTGTCCGCGACGAGAAGGGACGCCCGGTCTCTTGGTCCATCACAGACCAGTTTGCCACCATGTGCCACGGCTACACCCTGCCGGAGCACCGCAGGAAAGGCTACAGCCGGCTGGTGGCCCTCACCCTGGCCAGGAAGCTGCACAGCCGTGGCTTCCCCACGCAGGGCAACGTCCTCGACGACAACGCCGCCTCCATCAGCCTCCTGAAGACCCTCAACGCCGAGTTCTTGCCTTGTCGCTTCCACAGGCTCGTCCTCATCCCAGCAGCTCTGTCCAGCCAAGTTCACCTCTAGCCCGGCGAAGCAGCAGGCATCATCTTCGGTCCCCTGAGGATTCACATCCTCCTTAACGGCCAGGGAAGAGAAGATGAAAACGGGGATCAGGAGAACCCTGGAGAAAGTATGCAAGCTCAGCCTGAGAAGCCTTAACTAACCATGCCTTGAGTTTTTACAATCAATAACCAGAAAATAAATAGATAGGTAGGTAGGTAGATAGATAGATAGATAGCCAGGGTCAGGGGTCGCTGTGGCTGTCACAGAGGGAATGACCCTCCTGTGGGATCCACCGCAGGAAACGGGTCCTGCAGCCAGCAGTTCTCAGCACAGTAGCGGCAATGACAGCAGGAGGACAATGATTTAACAGGGGAGCTTGTGGCTACCGCTTTCCGCCGGCCTGGGCTTCCGCTCTGAAGTCTCACAACCACACCAGTTCCCTGCTCCCCTGAGTACCATTCACCTGGGCCCGCACTGCTCTGTCTCCCCAGCCACAGTGCCTACCACCTCTGACCCCAGTTCTCCGTGGGCTGTTCTGTGGTTTCGTCTTTAGTTCCTGGCTCTTTTCTTCTGCCTGTGACTCTAGCCTAGAGTCCTTCCTGGGAGCATTGGGAGGCAGTGGTTCTCACACCTGATACACTTCAGTCACCTGCAGGGCTGGTTACAACACAGTCTCCCCCACAAGAGTCAGGGGCCTGAGAACACATTTCTAACAAATCCCTGCTGCTTGGTTGCCTCAGATGGGGGAAGGCAGATATAAGCATTTTAATGCCAGAAATACTAGTCAATGATGCAGCGTAAGACTGGACCTTACCTATCACCTATTCCAGCCTCCTTGTCTATAATTTGTTTTCTCTTAAGAAACTAAGAGAAATATATAAATGTGAATGTGGATACGCAGATGCACATATAAACATACATATTCACACACTTATAAATATATAAGTATTTTTCTTTCATACTTTCTGCATATAAACTCAGCACTGTGATGAGATGATACATTTTCCTTCTCTCGCTGCATATGAAGAGTCTGAGGATCCAGGAAAACAAATGACTTCAAGATCACACAGATAATCAGTGCTGGAGGCCGTGCCAGAATGATGTCATTTTGATTTCAATCTATTTGCTTTTCACACAATCGTGTATCTTTTTTGCAAAGGAAATTTAAATGCTTAAATAATTAAATCAAAGTGTTATCCTTGTCAGTACTGTTTTTTTAACGGGGGTTCCAATTGTTTGTGTATATGTATCTTTGGAGGACAGAGACCAACACCACACAATGGCTGCATCTGTCTAGTCTGGATAACATTCACTGAGCCAGGAGAAAATGCTGGTTTCTTATCTCACAGAAGTTACCAAAATTCCACCTACAAAGATAAGGCGAAACCCAATGTTAGGTGTTTGTCCTGAGAAAAGTAAATCAACTGGCTGGAGGAGAGCATCATTTGAATAAAAAAATAAGACTCTTCCTTAGGTCGTCCAGACTTCTGATTATCTGGAAATAAATGTCTCCTTGGTGCTGGGGGTGAGGGGGGGAAGAGCAACAAGGAACAGAGTCCAGAAAGCTCTCGGGACGTTGTGGTCTGGTCCCTGCCCCAGGATACTAGTTATCTTCGGCATTAATTAAGCCTGGGTGGGGGGAGGGGGAGCTTGTGAGACTCTGAAGCCTGAAGTCATTATGCTAATTGGCCTCTTAAGCAGCTTGGAATTCCTTGGGGACGATTATTCCTTTCTCTCCTTGCTTTCTGAACAATGTACTCCAAATGACACCCATACTTTGTTTTTAACTTTTATCTTCCAGATAACTAATCTATAATAACAAAAGGGTGATATGCTAATTAGACCAGCTGGAAGGAAGCCCAGGTCACATAAGCTGGAGGGAAGCCAGTGCGGGCTGCCGGGGGAAGGAGGCCTACCCCTGCACAAATTTTGTGCATCGGGCCTCTAGTTAGACATAATTGCCCAAATTTCAATCCTGTTTCTGACCTGTTAAGGACCCTGTGGAGCAATTTCTGAATAAGGAAAAGAGAGGGTCTCAGAGTAGTAAGGAGCTAGATCAGCAGCTGGTCAGTAACTTGTTCAGTATACCGTATAAACTGGTGAAGAGTCTTAAGCAAAGTATCAGTCTGCTTGGAAGTCAGTTCGGGGAGACTGTTGCAATAGCTTGGATTAAGTTTGGCTTGGATTTGAAGGCTGGCAGCGATGATGACGAGAAGGGAGCCATTCACCAGAGCTGTGTAGGAGGAGAAGCAGTCAGCACGATGTGGCTGCCGGGTGTGATGAGACAGACACATCAGGATGAGCCCTGGGTTTCACTGTTGGGAGCCCTGTGGTTGGCGGTGTTTTCCTCTCAGATAGGAAACACCAGAAGAGTGCCAGGTCTGGGGCAGCTGGAGCAGAGGAACTGTTCCGTTTTGGGTTGTGGAGTTTTGAAATATACAAATAATGAGATCAAGTTGGATATCTGCATTTCAGAGAAGTTGTCTGCAGTAGAAATATGCATGTAGGGCCTAGGCACACAGACGGTAACACAGCCATGTACGCATCTGGCTGAAATGGCCGTGGGCTGGAACTCGCACACACAGTTATGTAAGGTGGAGTGACAGGAGGCTCTGGAATGGGAGAAGGAGCAGCAGGAAGATAAGAGGAAAGCCAGGAGATGACTATCCAGAAGAGAAAGGAGACAAAATTCAAGACTAGGGAATGGTCCATCATGTCATATTATTATACATGGAGGCCAAGAATACGAAGGAAATGAAACTTTTCCATTGCCCTATCATATATCTTAAAGACACGGACCAAGAAGAAGCCTGAAACAAGGACGTACACACACTCTATGAGTCTATAAAATTCAAAACCAGGCAAAACTAGTCTCCAGCTGAGAAGTCATGGATAGGTGCCCTTCGGAAGGACAGGATCTAGAAGGGGGGTGAGAAGCAGCTTCTGCTTTCTGGAGATATTCCGGTTCCTGGCCTGGTGTGTTCACTCTATGAACACTCATTAAGCTGCAGAATCATTCTGCACTCCTCAGTACGTGCACTCCTCTGCAACATGTCACATCCATGAACAGAAAACAGGAGTGGGGGAAATTGGATTTTGACCCAACAATTCTACTTCTTAACGTTTATCCCACTGGTATAAAAAACAGCATGCACATTGTAAGACTGAAAATGAACTAAATAGTGTAAGTAACTCACGGATTAAATATAGCACACCCATTGGACAAAACTCTGTGGGACACTAGAACACGAAGACTGCTGACACGGGAAATAGGTGCGTGATGACGCTCAATGCAAAGCGATGCAAAGCAATTACAGAAAAGTTATGAATCACCTATTTTAAATTCAGCTGTGAAGATAAGGAGGGAGTAAGCAGATAGGTAAGTAGAAAGTTATGCGCCATCTATTTAAGATTCAACTGTGAAGGTAAGGAGTGAGTAAGCAGAGAGGCAGACACTTCTGAAAGCAGTCTAATGGCTTTTCCCGGGGAGACAGGAGCGCGTGGTAAGAGGCAGTAAGTACTTCATGGCTGGATGCGATGATGATGAAAGTGAGAGTGGGGAAGGGCACGTGATGAGAATAGAGCCACAGTTGGTTAATAATTATCCACCTGCCGAAACCGGTTTGGCTCAGTGAATAGAGCATCGGCCTGCAGACTGAAAGGTCCCAGGTTCGATTCCGGTCAAGGGCATGTACCTTAGTTGCAGGCACATGCCCAGTAGGGGGTGTGCAAGAGGCAGCTGATCAATTATTTCTCTCTCACCCATGTTTCTAACTCTCTATCCCTCTCTCTTCCTCTCTGTAAAAAATCAATAAAATATAGCCAAAACCAGTTTGGCTCAGTGGATAGAGTGTCGGTCTGCGGACTAAAAGGTCCTAGGTTCAATTCCGGTCAAGGGCATGTACCTTGGTTGCGGGCACATCCCCAGTAGGGGTGTGCAAGAGGCAGCTGATCGATGTTTCTCTCTCATCGATGTTTCTAGCTCTCTATCCCTCTCTCTTCCTCTCTGTAAAAAAATCAATAAAATATATATATATATATATTTTTTTTTTAAATCAATAAAATATATTTTAAAAAATAATAATAATTATCCACCTTACTGACTATAGATAAGAAGTTTTCTTACAGACTGGGAAACTGGAGGATGAGACAAGGCTGTAAAAAGAATAGCTGCCTCCATGGGCCCATGACTCAGAGAAGAAATACACTGAGAACAGACCGAGGACAGGACAGGCTTTGATTTGGCGGCTGTGCCTGGGAGAGGGTTAACCGGAACGCAGGCAGGTAGGGCAGGGTGCAGTGGGAAACAAAGGCAGGACATAGGCAGGGGCGGACCCGGCAGTCTGAGCCGGCCTTACCGCAGGAACCGACCAAGCAGAAAGAATAAAAGGTTTCTGGACTCAAAGCGGGAGGCCTGGGAAACCCAGGGAGGGCCTGCAGGAAACAAGGTGTATGAGCACAGAAACGGACAGCGTTCAGCAGAAGAAGAGAGAAAGAACACATAGAGACAGGGAAAGCACACACAGGTCCGTGGCTGGGCAGGAACAATCGAGGGGATCGATCAGGTGACGCACAGGTAGGCACAGAGCAGGCCTGTAGTAAATATATACCCTGGACCACAAGGCTTTCACGGGCAGCCCATTCTTGGGGCCCGCTCCCCTTTGGGGAGTCTGAACCTGCTTGTAATAGATTTCCCACGCTGTGCTTCAAGCTTCTGGTCCGCGTAGCTCATTCTTTGGCATCATGAGACACATCCCCGGAAAACACCTGGCTCACTGTTCCCATTATCACCTGGACCCTGCCCCTCTGGGAGTTTTCCTCAGGAGCACTGACCACGCTCAGGTCCCAGGAGCGGGCCGCTTGTAACATCAGAGAAGATTAGCTGCCTTGTTATCAGACCTGGAGCTTCTCTGAAGGCCGGACTGACCCTCCCCTCTCCTGTCAGTGTGAGATCTGTGGCTCGCAGCTGCACAGGGCTATCTTCTCCCTCATGTGTGTATAACCAGCCAACGGGCAAGGGGGTCTGGGCAGACCTGCTGCTCTCCCATACTGCTGGCAGTATGATTCCACCCAGTCTCTTAAATGGGCTCAGGTGGTGGCAGGCAACCGGACCCCTCGATTGTCCGGTTACAAAAGCAGCCGATCCGATGAGCATGCTCAGCTCCGGGTGAGTGTTGAACAGGTCCGGCAGGTTAAGTGTCTGTGTATTTGAGTAAGAATGACTATTCTCTCTGACAAGACTCACTGAGAGGAAACATACAGGACCACTGAGAATTCCACCTGCTCCCTCTGTGGGAGCCAGATAAGGCAGTGAGTGTCATCTGGTGGGTGGGGGGATGGGGCAGGGCATTGGGGGGAGGAAGGGAGAGATTTGAGCCTCATCTAAGAGAGCATCCCATCAAATGTCACCAGTTTGGATTATCTTCATTTTACCTTTTTAATCAAAAGCATTTGTTTGGCGGCTTGAATTTTGAAAAAGAAATGAAACCACTATGAATGAAGTTTCCTTCAGTTGTCCATGACAATCCCTACAGTTTTGTATCCACTGTCCCTCCTTTCGGGCAACACCAGGGGCAGGCACAATAAAACTGAGCGGGAAACAGCAGACGTGTAACTGGGTTCCAGGGCAGGAG